CCAGCAGGTCGAGGCTGCGTGGCTGGGAGCGGCCACTGCACTCCAGTCTGGGCGACAGAGTGAGACTCCAACTCAAAAAAAAAAAGAAAGTGGACCTTTGAAATGAAGGTCCAGGATTCTACCAGAATGAAACCGATAGAAATATGACACTTGCGTCTTGCTTCAGCACCACTGCCAAAGAAGAGGTTCAATGCAGTATCTTTGTAGGATACCATGTGGGTCCTTTTCATCCTGATTCCATTGTTCTGTTTGCCTCTCTTTTAGAACAATGCTAAAGTCGCCGTGCTGGGGGCTTCTGGGGGAATCGGGCAGCCCCTTTCACTTCTCCTGAAGAACAGTCCCTTAGTGAGCCGCCTGACCCTCTACGATATCGCGCATACACCTGGAGTGGCCGCGGATCTGAGCCACATTGAGACCAGAGCAACTGTGAAAGGTACTGGGCATGCTGGTCCTGGAGACTTTCATCTCTTCTCCCTAGTAGACCAGGATGTGGGTTTTGAGTCAGATCCTTAGATGAAACTAGATGTTTAGGGACTTGAGGTTTCTTGTCAGTTTTAAATTTCAAATGGACAAACAATTACACCCTTTTGGACTTGGGTCTATAAAAATTTAAACAGCACTCTGTTTTAGAAATACAAAGTAGCCTAATCTTCCCATTTTTTTACTTTTCCTAATTTGAAAAGTAGTATGAGAATTGGGGCATGGGGGAGGGGGAAGCGTTAGGGACCTCCAGCAGGCATTTGGGGGCAATGAGAGGTATTGTTCCCTGGCTACCTTCCCTCCTTCCCAAGGATTACCTTGACCAGCTCCTCCAAACCACAGCCTCTTAGAAACCCTGCCCTTCCATGAAAGGTAATATCTAGGCTGTTTGGTAAATGTAAGTATGTTGCCCAAAAAGTTGTTTGTAATTATATATAATTATATATCCTGTACACTTGACCTTCATGCTATATCAACATTTTTCCATGTCACCAAATTCTTGGTAAAACCATTTTTAAAGTTGTATTGTAGTTTATCAGTTATTTATTATAGCCCTATTGTTTTATAAAAGCAGCTACGTGGCTTGTCTTTTTTTCCCCCCAGACAGGATAAATTCTATCACTCAGGCTGGAGTGCAGTGACATGATCATTCCTGGGCTCAAATGATCCTCCAACCTCTGCCTCCTAAGTAACTAGGGCTACAAGTGTGCGCCACCATGCCCAGTTGATTTTTTAAAAAATTTTTGTAGAGACAGAGTCTCAATATGTTGCCGAGGCTGGTCTCAAACTCCTAGCCTCAAGCAGTCCTCCCACCTCAGCTTCTTAAAGTGCTAGGATTACAGGCATGAGCCACTGTGCCCAGTCCTTGAGTTGGAGTCTTACTCTGTCACCCAGGCTGGAGTGAGCTCCTGCCGGGCTCAGGTGATCCTTCCACCTCAGCCATCCAAGTAACTGAAACTAGAGGCATGTGCCACCATGCCTGGCTAATTTTTTTTTATTTATTGTAGAGACAAAGTCTCTCCATGTTGCCCAGGCTGGTTTCAAACCCCTGGACTCAGGCAGTCCTCTTGCCTCGGCCTCCCAAAGTGCTGGGAGGCTTGAGCCTCCGTGCCTGGCCCTAAATCGTGTTTCTTAGAGTACTAAAAATAGATTTAGTAGTTATGAATATTTCACAGCTTTTACTATAAAGCTCCAAATTGTTGTCCAGAAAGACCGTACCGATTTCTCTCCCTGCTGACAGTGTATGAGAATACCATGTTGGCAGTGTTTATAGGAATCTTCAGTTGGTATAACAGTTTGGGAGGTTGACTGTGAAGCCATACGTCTGTTCCTTCCATAGTTCCTCTGATTTGGTTTGCTTATTTTCTTTTGAGCTGTATATTTGAGTTTCTGAAGACTCTTGTAATAAGCAAAAAGCCAAAATCAAAACAGATTTTGGACATTTGTAGCAAATTTCCCTGAAATCTTTGAAAACATACTTTTTCCACAGTTCATAGGAGTAAGCAAGGTAGATTACTAATTACTAATATTTAGAGTCCTTGATTATCAGCACAGTGTTTTCCTCCATGCCCCCAGTGTGCCTTCTGCTCAAGGAGTTTTGTCAGGATCATGGTGAAGTGGAAGGAGCAGCTCTTCTCATTCTAACTGGAGGCCAAGAATGCCTTACGAGTACTAGTGAATCGGATAAAGACAAGCACATGACTCGGTGTGGTTTTGTAGAACCCCAGAGGGCTAGTCTATTCTAAAAGGGACCTGGGCAAGACAAGGAAAGTAGGGTAAAGGGGGGCCTTCTTGCCATCAGGAATTTGTCAGCTCTCAGGGCAGTAGTTGTCAGCAGAAGGAAATCACTTGACAATGGGGCCTTCTAGCCTTTCTTGAGGTCTCTAGATGGCATTAAGCCCAGGTAGGGGCTATCCTTCCCAGGCCTCTTAAATCAGAAAAGGTGAAATTTCTCTTGTGGGGTGTTTTTTTCTAGGCTACCTTGGACCTGAACAGCTGCCAGACTGCCTGAAAGGTTGTGATGTGGTGGTTATTCCAGCCGGGGTCCCCAGAAAACCAGGTGTGTCTGAAATCTCTCCAAGTAGGAAAGTGGCTTTAGTTTAATCCAGTTACTTTGCTGCAGAAAAAATGCCACAAACTCCCCATTGCCTATGGCATAAAGATCACATCTCCATATTGGCCTGGCGTTAAATAAGCCTTTACATATCTGCTACGTGTCTCCCCTGCACCTGATATCTTGCTGTTCTTGAACTTTTTTGTCCTTGTGCATCCGGGCATGGCCCCATCTTCCACCCATCTCCACCTTGGAGATTCTTACTAATCCTTCTCAAATATCACCCTCCCTTCCCCTTGTTCTACCCCCGTAGATCTCCACTCTTGCCTGTGTCACACCGGGTTGTTTTCCCTACAGGAGAGTTTTACTTGAAACAGGGTCTCTATCTTGCTTGTTGTCAACTTTCCTGTAGCAACTAGCATGTAGCACCTGGCCCCGTTTGGAAATCCATTGTGTGCTTTGTTAACATCTTGCATTGGATCATTTCTAGGCATGACCCGGGATGACCTGTTCAACACCAATGCCACAATTGTGGCCACCCTGGCTGCTGCCTGTGCCCAGCATTGTCCCGAAGCCATGATCTGCATCATTGCCAATCCGGTGAGTGTCACTGGGCCCAGCCCGCATCGCTGTGACAGATGGGTAGGTGCTGATACTGTGAAACGCTCACAATTAACAACAAAAGTCTGCTAATGTGCTTGTAGGGAGAACAGGCAGATGAGAATACTGAAACAGAAAAGTCGAATACACTAACAAGAGGTCCTTTTGTCTGTCACCCAGGCTGGAGTGCCGTGGCATGATCATGGCTACCACAGCCTCAACTTCCTGGGCTCAGGTGATCCTTCCACCTCGGCCTTCCAAGTCGCTGGAACTACAGGTGTGTGCTACCATATCCGGCTGACTTATTATTATTTATTGTAGAGACGAGGGTTTGACAAGTTACCCAGGCTGGTCTCAAACTCCTGGGCTCAGGCACTCCTCTCACCTCAGCCTCCCAAAGTGCTGGGATTACAGGCGTGAGCCACCATGCCCAGCTGGGCCCTGGAACTTACTTCCCAAGGATTCCTTTTGGAGTGAACTAAATGAGAGGCTTTTTGTTTTTGTCTTTTTAAGAGATGGGATCTGACTGTGTTGCCTAGTCTAGTCTCAAACTCCTGGGCTCAAGCAGTCCTCCCAAGATGCTGTGATTACAGGCATGAGCCACTATGCCCACTCCTAAATGAAAGTTTTGACCTAGTTCTTCTTCCAACTAACTGCCTGCCTTTGGGCAGATCACTTCTCTCTGTACCTTAGTTTCCCCATCTGAGCGGAAGTCTGTTCTTAGGGTTCCTTTCATCCAAGATTGTGGAAGCCTATTGACTCCTTTTTTTGTTATATAGTAGTCGTCCCTTATCTTTGGGGATATATTCTAAGAGAACCCCAATGGATGCCTGAAACCGTGGGTAGTACCAAACCCTGTATATACCATGTTTTTTCCTATGTATACATACCTATGATGAAATTTAATTTATAAATTAGGCACAGTAAAAAATTAACAATAGTAATAATAAAACAATCATGACAATATACTGTAATAAAGTTTTTTTTTATTTCCTTAAGTTAATATTACGTTTACCTTTTCACTTAAAGGAAACACTTTACGGCTTCTCTTTGGCATCCTCAAACTGCCGACATCACTATTGTGCTTTGGGGCCATGAAGTAAAATAAGGGTGTCTGGAACACAAGCACTGAGATACCTCAACAGCTGATCTGATGACAGATAGTTCAAAAGTGATTAACGGGCAGTGGTATAGATATCGCAGACATGCTGGGCAAAGGGATAATTCACATCCTGGGTGGGATGGAGCACGATTTCACTCTGTAACTCAGGATGGCCTGCGATTTAAAACTTATGAATTATTTATTTCTGGAAATTTCCACTTAATATTTTCAGACCTCACTGGCAACTAAAACCACAGAGAGCAAAAACCACAGATGGGAGGACAATCTGTATTCCACTCAGGGTTGCAATTCCTGGCTTCCTGTCGTCCCCATCTCCCCACACTTAGACACAATCTCAGAAACACACGGCCACCCTAGACCCTACCTGCTGGTTTTTGCAGGTAGTTTATTCTTCTACTCAGATTCTGCAAGTGCTGTGCCCTCAGAACCCCAGGACAGCACTGGTTCCCAGGCCTGGCCCGGCAAGGCCCTATGTTGCATTGAACAGCAGCCCTGGCCCTCCTCCTCCTCCTTGAGTCTGGGTTCTGGTGTCTGAGTATGTTGAGTATCTGGGTGAAGGTGCCAGGACAGTGATGTCACGAAGGTATGTGGCTGCCGATAGGCACCCAGAGCTTGGGAGAAGGATTCTGTCTTCCCCACAAACTTGCCTTCCTCAGAGGTGGTCGGTTAAAGGTAGATAGTAGCTGCTTCTTTTGTTGGAGAGCTTACTAATGTCCAATACAAACCTGCTGTTTTGTTTTTATTATAAGATTCTTCCTGGTACCAGGTAATGTATTAAGCACTTACCTTATATTAAGTCATTCAATCTGTACAACTTCATGAGGTAGTTGTTGTTTCCCCTATTTACAAATAAATAAACCAAGCCTAGGGAGTTTGGGTAACTTGCCTAGGGTTAGAACAGGGACAGACCTGGGATTTGACCCTACTTCATCTGAGCAGTCGATGTCCTGTGGAGCCATCATCACATATTTAAATTGGAGGCTGAAGGGTTGCCAAGGAAACAAGCATCCCCTGTAGTAAAGGGTTTCTTTGTTTACCTGGTGTGACCCGTCCTATCTGGCAGGTGGCTTGCCCTTACACAAAGTTATCAGACAGGGCAATTTGATTTGGCATCTTCAGTATTGTTAGTGGTCTGATGAAAAGATTTTTTTTTTTCTTTTGTTGCTTGGCCCTGTTCTCAGAATTCAGGACAAATTATGCCTGTCTCTTGGATTTACTAGGTTAACTCCACCATCCCAATCACAGCAGAGGTTTTCAAGAAACATGGTGTATATAACCCCAACAAAGTCTTTGGGGTGACAACACTGGACATCGTCAGAGCCAACACTTTTGTTGCAGAACTGAAGGTAAGGGCTATACCAGGTATCTCTTGAGTCACCTTTCTGAACTTCTCTGGCCACCCTTACTCATTTACAAGCATGGAAGACACCTGGAACCTACAGGTCATGAGTCAGTTATGCTCCCTTAGTGGAAGCAGCCCCACATCTCCTATGAAATTCATACAACAGGGCCCTACAGGTTTAACTCTGGCTGGCTTTTGTCTCCACTAACTCACTGTCTCCTCCCTAGGTTTCTCTCTGTCCAGACTTCCCCTTTCTCCTTACTCCTGAAAACTAGTAGTAGCAGGATTTGCTTGCTGTTTGTGAGATAAGGGATTATAGAACTTAGGAAAGTTCCAGAAATCCTGAGATACCAGAGTTGTCAGCCCTGGTCTCTGGTTCTGACTCCTCTTTTCTGGGTTGCCCCTAGTGGCTTGCCTGGGAGAGTCCTGGCCTTGCCAGGTACCTGGCTCTCGGGCTGCTAGACTGAACTGCTGGATTTAGAGTCCTCAGTGCCTTTTGCAACTTCCTGTCTAATTGTTTCCGTGTGGATCCGGCAGAATCACTTCCCCTGGCCCCAAAAAGTGTCCCTCTTGAGCTTCAGGTCATTTTGCTGTGACTCGCACACTCAAGGAGGGCCTCTCGGAAGGAGGGGAGGAATTGTTGTGCACACAGCTGAGGGAGAAGGGCGCACACAGGGCCACACCAGACAGATTTGCCTCACTTTAATTCCTACAGCAGCAAGGACTGAGGGCCTGGCACTCCGGCTCTGTTCCAGGTATGTGGGTCACAGAGATTCATGAGACCAGGCCCCAGGTCTCGGGGGCTCTGTGGAGTGCACAGAGACAGTTTAATTTCAGAGACAATTTAATCAAGTGACCAGGTTAGTGCAGGTGTGCACAGAGTGGGATAGAGCCTGTAGGGAAGGAGCAGGAGGCTGTGAGTCTGAAAGTGGACGCGCCAGCTGGGCGTCCCAGCTCCAGAGGCACATCTCTCCGTGTTCTGGAAGTGACGGTACTTGTTCTCCTGGGGAACTCGGGGCTGGGGCACGCCACTGCCCCTGGGCCCTAGTCCTGCCCTGCACCACCACGGTAGTCACTGGCTGCTTGTGACCGTTTAAATTAATCAACGTGGAATAATGTTAAGACTGTGCTGAGGCTAGGCGTGGTGGCTCACACCTATAATCCCAGCACTTTGGGAGGCCAAGGTGAGAGGCTTGCCTGAGCCCACAAATTCAAAACCAGCCTGGGCAACTTGGCCAGACCTCCTCTCTACAATAAATCAAAAAAATTAGCTGGTTGTGGTGGTGCGTGCCTGTAGTTCGAGCTGTATGGAAGCCGGAGGTTAAAGGATCACCTGAACCCAGCAGGTCGAGGCTGCGGTGGCCGTGAGCATGCCACTGTGCTCCAGCCTGGGCAACAGAGTGAGACTCCAACTCAAAAAAGAAAAAAAGATCATGTGCCTTCTGTTGCACCTGCCATATTTCAGGTGCTTAATAGTCACGCGTGGCTCCTGTGTTCTCACAGAAGGTTCTGTCAGGTGGTGCTTCACTCTTTCAGGGAGGGAAAGGGGGACTTGGGCCCTGGCCAGAGGAGCTGGTGCTTGAAAAACTGCGATCGGTGAGCTGCCATCACCTCGGGCTGCCTGATGTTCTGGCAAGTTCCTGAACTGTGTCAAGAGTAGGTAGCAGTTTTTAAACTTCAGTGTCTCGTTCCTCCCTCAGCCATTCCAAGCCCCTCTGCCACCACCTTCCCTTTCAGGATGGCTCCCAGAAATGTTCTGCTGTTGGCATTTAATACACCCCTGGTATTGACATATTTTTTCACAACCCATGGCTTTGCTTTTCTGTGTGTGTGTGTGTGTGTGTGTGTGTGTGTGTGTGTGTGTGTGTGTGTGTGTTTGTTGTTGTTTTTTTTTTGAATTGGAGTCTCTTTCCTTCACCCAGGATGGAGTGCAGTGGCATGCACATTCACAGCCACCCCAGCATCGACCTTCTGGGCTCCGGCAATCCTTCCACCTCAGTCTTCTGCATAGCCCAGAACTACAGACGCATGCTACCACACCCGGCTATTTTTTATTTTATTTCAGAGACGAGGTCTCACCAAGTTGCCCAGGCTGGTCTCAAACAGGCGGACTCAGGCAATCTACTTGCCTCGGCCTCCCAAACTGCTGGGATTACAGACTGACTTTTCTGTTTCTTTTACGTAGAGTACTCTTTGCTTGGCTAATTCTCCTGCTCCAGGAAGCCTTCTCCCCTTTGCTTCAAAGCCACCCCATACTCCTGTCTTATACCATGCAGCATTGAAACGTCAGTTTGTATCCAACTTTTGAAAAGGGGCTGTGTCTGTTCATCCCTGTGTCCTGGTGACCACATGGTGCCCAGCACAAGTGTGCTTACACTGGGATGAACCTCACCTCTTTGGCTCCTGGCTCGGTGAAGCTGGTCCTGCCTGCTTTGCCCAGTCACGAGGTTGACCCTCCTCTCCTAGGCAAACCTTGTTTCCTGGCTCACGGCTCTTTAGCAGCCGTGGCATTGGGGGCATCTTTTAGGGAGCTGCCCACCTTTCTACCATAATTCCCATCAGGTTCTTTTTTGTCTGTTTTAAGAAATACCTCATTCACAGATTCTCGGGGGCCTTATACCTTTGGTGTTTAACAAATTAGTCAGCCTCTCCTAGCAAGTCCTCCTAGCGTGAGCCATGGTGTTTTCACCCTGCACCTCTCAATTTTGTTCTTTCTGTTCCAATCTCTAAGGTGCCAGGCTTCTTTTCACCCCTTGCTTTCTTGGGATAGGTATGAATTTTGCTCTGCACTGAAGGAAAGAGAATTTGGCTTGCTCCCTGTAACAGAGTATAGGGACATGAGTCTGGGTTTGTACGTGGGGAATGGTGTCTCTGAGAAGGAGAACTGTAATCTTCAGTTCGGGAAAGATGTCAGGCTGATGTGCAGTGGCCGTTCCCGGCCACCACAGCCTCTACCTGCTGGGCTCCGGTGATTCTTCTGCCTCAGCCTTCCAAGTAGCTGGAACTACAGGTGTGCGCTACCACGCCCAACTGATTTTTGATTTATTGTAGAGATGAGGTCTCACTAAGTTGCCCAGGTGGGTCTCAAACCCGCGGGCTCAGGCAATCCACTCACCTCAGCCTTCCAAAGCCACGGGATTATAGGCTGAGCCACCGAGCCCGGCTTCTGCTCATTATGAAGGAAGAACCTGTAACGGTCTTGCAGACAACAAGCTTTTCCTCACTGCACATGTTCAAACTGTCAGCCATTTTGTGGGACCATGGTAGGACAGCTAAGCACAGCGGAGGTTGGATGATAACTTTTCTCTGATTTCTTTGTTTCGTTCTGAATTCTGGGAATTTTCCCAGTATTGGTACTTCGGGTGGTTTTGACATGTTTTATCCTCAGAGAGGTTGTTAACAATTAATCATGCCTCATACTTTGGTCACCAGGGTTTGGATCCAGCTCGAGTCAACGTGCCTGTCATTGGCGGCCATGCTGGGAAGACCATTATCCCCCTGATCTCTCAGGTACTTGTGTGACATTGCAGATACCTTCAAGGTGACAAGCCCCTCTGTTTACCAGGGCCTGCTCTGAGGCAGTACTGTAGGACTGGTGATTCAGCCACTTGGAAAGGTTCCTGCTGTGGAGACAGCCTCACCCCCATCTGCTGAGGGGCTGAGGTCAGGCTGCGGCATTTTGGGGCTCAGCTGTGTGGAGTGACTGGTCAGAAGGTGCTCAAAGTAGCCAACACCAACCAACAGTGAGAACTAGTGTTAGGTCAGAGCAGGCGAAAGTGCTTTGTTTACAAAGGAGTCTAGACAAGGCAAACACCACTGGGAAAAAGATATATAAATTGACCTTATAACCTTGGAATATAATGTACTGAGAAGGACACAAAATATTTGTGAAGTTTTTTTTTTTTTTAGCAAAAATGCATAGCCTGACAAAATCATGAGGAAGCATCTCACATCCAGGATGGTGGACATTCTACAAAAGGAGTGATCAGTACTCTTACCAAGTGTCAGGAAAGACAGGACCTCACAAGAGACTAACTGAATGCAAGGTGGGGTCAGGACAAGAGCCTGGAACGGAAAAAGCACAGTAGGGGAGAACTGGTGAATTGCGAATAATAGTTTAGTTAGTAATGTACAGATGTTAATGTTCTGTTCTTCACGATTACACTGTGGTTATGTGAAGCAGTAACATTAGGGTAAGCCAAGTAAGGGAAATCTTTGTACTGTTTTTACAACTTTTCTCCAAGTCCAAAATATAAAAAGTTCTTCAAAAATTAGTAGGGGCCTTGCAAAACTTCCCAGCTGATTTGATTTCATCATTTTTCTATAAAGAAAAGGTCTTGGGGGCAAGGCACAGTGGCTCACATCTGCAATTCCAGCACTTTTAGGGGCTGAAGTGGCAGGATTGCTTGAGCCCAGTCTAGGCAACATAGTGAGACCTTGGCTCTACAGAAATATTAGGCAGGTGTGGTGGCACATGCCTTGAGTCCCCGCTACTTGCGAGGCTGAGACGGGAGGAATGCTGGAGTCCAGATTGTGCCAATGTACTCCAGCATGGGTGACAGTGAGCCCCTAACTCAAAAGTCTTGGTTTTCCCTGCTGTGGTGGTAGGCGGGAGCTCCTGTGAGGAGGGGGCAGAAGTGGGGGGCTTTGGGTTGGGGGCAGGGGCCAGAAGAAGCTGCTCACTGACCCCACGGTTTGGCTTGCAGTGCACTCCCAAAGTGGACTTTCCTCAGGACCAGCTGACAGCGCTCACTGGGCGGATCCAGGAGGCCGGCACTGAGGTGGTCAAGGCCAAAGCTGGCGCAGGTAGAGGCTTAAGACAGCCCCTGGGGCTGGGCGCCAACATGAGGCCCTGCTGTATTCAGGGTGTTCAAGGTTGAAGGGAAACACTGCTTGTCCCTGGGCAAGGAGTGGGTAGTTTTCCGCTTCATCCATGTGCACATGATAGGAAATCCATGTGTAAGAGGGCAGCTCAGCTTGCTCTGTGGGGTGGAGAGTCCGTCTTGAGGTTGGCAGACCCAATTCCATGCTGTCCTGAGTAAGGGACACTGACCTCAGTTCTCGATGGTTAAGCTGGAAAACTGGAAGGTGCCCCGGCTGGCAGGGCAGGCTCACCTGGTCTTCACGGTTGCAGCGCCAGCTTAGCTGACCCGCCTGTGCTCTCCTAGGCTCTGCCACCCTCTCCATGGCCTACGCCGGTGCCCGGTTCGTCTTCTCCCTTGTGGATGCAATGAACGGAAAGGAAGGAGTCGTTGAGTGTTCCTTTGTCAAGTCGCAAGAAACAGACTGCACCTATTTCTCCACCCCGTTGCTGCTGGGGGTATGTATCCTGGAGGCTGGTTCTTTGGACTGTGCTGGGAGGGTTCTCGCCATTTCAGATGCAGGCGCTCTTCCCTGTCCCTTTGCTATGTAATTCAGATTCCCTTTGTGAAGTTACTGCATGTCACCGCCTGACATGTGCTTGGGTTTTTGAGGGTGGAAGCACATCACTGAGTTAAGAGCTGGGAGAAATTGCAGACTGAAGCGTGAGCCTCCCAGCATGTGGATCTCACTCCCCACAGTTTGACAGCTCAGCAGCAGCTGCCTGAGTGTGTTTACTGCTGAGCCATTCCATCTCCAGACAGCCCACAAACAGCTCTGGAGGAAAGCCTGGACACCATCTCTTTCTGGCTTCTGCTTGTGCATTCGTGTTGTGACTTCAGGGCCTGCAAGGCCCAATTCCTCTTCCAGAGAAGCCTGGAGACATTGCACAGCTGTGAACTGTCAGACTGTCCTGCTTCCTTGCTCCACACCCTGCTGGCTTGCCTTCTTGGGATGTGCATCTGGGCCAGAGCCATCTGGTCACAGTACTTGCTTCGCCCCCAAGGTGTTTTGGGGGCGGCCGTCTGGTCTGGTTGACATTTGCTGAGTTTTCGGTGAGTGGAAACCCTCAGGTCTTACAGACCATCAAGCCAGGTTTCCATTTCCTGTGTGTGGACAGCTACTGAAAATGGGCAAATGTGGAGTTACCTTTATCATGTGACCAGAAAGAAAGTCATGATTTGCTGGGCCACCCCAGGGCCTTTCCTGTAGATACTCTGATGCCCACAGATCCTTGACTTGGTCCCAGACCTTGGTGGAGAGACATGTGTAACAGTTCAGTCAGCACAGGTGTGTGGCGGGACCTGCAGGAGAGGAACACCCAGGTCTGGCGGGCCTAGAGCCAGGGAAGACTTGAGGAGGAAATTGTGTTGAAGCGGGGTCTGAGGCTGTTCTGACAGCAACGGTACTCCGTTTCAGAAGGTGAGACAATGACAAAGAGACACCTGTTGTTTTTGCTAACGTCAGACACGAGCCTACTTAATTACGTTTGATTCAGGCGAATATTAAAAATGTCTCTTCAGTTCTTTCCCAACCTGGGGAAGAGACTGGAAGCCCAAAATAGGCGCTCGGAGAGAATAATGTGAAGCGCCCCTGACAGTTCAGTAGCTTGGGTGCCGGGCCCTGCAGCGCGTTGCCCTCGGGTGTGCTCACAGCTCCTTTGAGGAACATGATCTGATCTTTTGACAGACGGGGAAACACATTTGGAGTGTAAGTCATTGTCTGGGGCACATGCATAGTCGATGACGGAGGCAGGATCCAGCCTAGGAGCGTCTGGCTCTGAAGCCCACACTCCTGATCGCAGCTGAGCCCCCTTCCTGGGTGGGTGTAGCACACGCAGCAGGCCACCCAAGTTCTCGGCAGAGCCGAAGAAGGGACAAGTTGTGTTTTCTGTAGCAAACTCAGGAAGACCTCATTTTTGTGTGTGGACAGCTCCTTTGCCGCTGTTCTTTCCACTGCTCCCTTGCAGCATACTAAACAAACCACCTCCCTTCTCTCCTTCAGAAAAAGGGCCTAGAGAAGAACCTGGGCATTGGCAAAGTGTCTTCCTTCGAGGAGAAGATGATCACTGAAGCCATGCCTGAGCTGAAGGCCTCCATCAAGAAAGGAGAAGAGTTTGTAAAGAACATGAAGTGAGAAGTCGTGAAGAGCAGCTTGTCTCCTTAATTTATCAAGGCATCATGTCACTGTAAAGCCGTTCAGATACCTCTGTATTTTAATTCGCTTTGATCATGATTATTTTATTAACATGACCATCTCTTCAGAATTGTCGCTGGGTCGCTGGCGCATCAATAAAAGCAGTCTTTGATTTTCCTTTTCAAGGTCCTTTCTCTGAATGTTGTGCTGTCTCCTCCATGAGAGCTGACTTCAGAGGGCCTGTCAGCTCTTCATTGTAAGTCAGAATGAGGTGTCATTTACCGTTAGACTGAGGGATGGTGGGTTCATCGGCAGCGTCAAGAGGGTCTAAGATGCTTATTCTGGAAGAGGACGAAATATGCATGCTCCTCTGAACACCTGTCTTTGCATCATTGTGTCACTCGGGGCCTAATTTCTTATCGGGGTTGCTGGCCCTCCCGGGGTAACAGTTCAGCGGCTAATGAGCCATTTCTGTCTTTTGTGTTGCTTTCTGGCTGAGCAAACAGCCCCGTCTCCATCGAGCTGCCTTAGCTGACTCTCCCCCTCCGAATTCATCTTCTGAGCGAGCCCGGGACAGTGGGGGCCTGCTACGGCAAGGCTCAGCACACCATGCCATCTTTCATGAAAAGGTGTTTCGGTTGTCATCAGCAGCCTAAAGAAAGGATTTCAAGAATTATGCATAGGCCCAGCTCGGTGGCTCAGCCTGTCATCCCAGCACTTTGGGAGGCCGAGGCTAGTGGATTGCCTGAACCCGTGGGTTCGAGAGCAGCCCGGGCAACTTGGCGAGACCTCATCTCTACAAAAAGTCAACCAGGCGAGGTAGCGTGCACCTGTGGTTCCAGCTACTTAGAAGGCTGAGGCGGAAGGATCGCCAGAGCCCAGCAGGTCGACGCTGTGGGGGCCAGGAGCGGCCACTGCACTCCAGCTTGGGTGACAGAGTGAGACTCGGACTCGAGGAAAAAAAAAAGAGTTATACATATTCATAGTATATAAAACCTAAAAAGTAGCTAGAAAATAAAGTAGGAAAGTAACCACTGATAATATTTATCCTTGTGCATATTTCACAAGTTGAGATAATGTAGTCTGCCCTTCTGGCTATCTGTTACTGTGTAATCCCCTCTCCAACTAAGTTGTTTTTAAGTCATTTTGTACCTCCCAGTTCTCTGGATCTATGAGGCTCAACTGGGTGGTTCTCTCCGCTTGCCATCAGCTCAGCCTGCAGTCATCTGGAGGCTGGGCTGGGCTGGGATGTGCACAGTGATGGCCAGTGTGTGAGATTGCTGGGACAGCTGGGCTTCCCCCCACGGTCTCGGTCCTCATTCTTAGGGCCTCTCTAGCAAGGTGGTCGAGTTCCTTGATGGCTCAGAGCTTCCAAGAGTAAAAGCGAAAGCTGCCAAGCCTTAAGGCTTAGACTCAGACTGGCACATCACTCATGCCACATTCTTGGTTAAAGCAAGTGACAAGGCAAGCCCAGGTGCGTTGTGGCTGGGGACCACACAGACTGGTCTCAAACTCCTGGGCTCAAGCGAGCCTCCCACTTTGGCCTCCCAAAGTGCTGAGACGACGGACATGAGCCACCATGCCTGGCCCTTTGTCACTTTTAATAACTGGATAATCCTTAAGGTGAACAGAGTAGCTATAATTTATTCCAGTGTTGGATAATTTTCATTTGTCATTACTCCCAAGAGCATGACCCTGAATGTCATCTTTTAGACTATTTCCTCTTAGTGGTTCTACATGCAAAGCACTGTGCTCGCGCTATTTGGGGTGCGTTTGCCATTTCATGGGATTCTGGCAGCAGTCCTGACAGGCGGGACCTGGGATACAAGGGCCAAGTCGTGTCTTGGTTTGGGTCATCACTGCTCACCTCCATGTCTGGTTCTGCCTGCTCCCAGATGACCCCATTAGGCGCCGTGAGGAAACAAGCCACTAGAAAGCAAAGAAGAGGAAAATAACTCACTTCTGGTTGGCTGGATCTGCGAAGTTTGCCCCAAGTGGCAGGTCCACCGGGTCAGGACACAGGCAGGGGCAGGATGTGGGCAGCCTGTTCAAGTGGGTTAATTGAGGAGATCCATTCAAGCCCTAGGGGACTGGGGACTGCAACCCAGAGAGGCAGGCACCACGAGACCAGGCACAGCCCCTTGCAAGGCCTGTCACAGGAGGCCAGAGGCCAGACCAGGGCCCAAGCGCCTGGATGGAGGAGGTGCTCTGGTTTGCCCAAGGCAGCCACAGGACAGGCCCTGGGCTCTTGCTCCTGGTCACCCAGCAGCTTCCTCTGACCCTGGGTTTGGAGTAATTAATCCCTATCCCCTCGGCGAGCCAGCCAGGAATGGCCTGTCCTTGATTATGCAGGGCACTGGAGATGAGAAACCCAAGGTTACCTGATTAACGGAAGTAGCTCTGCCAACTTATCTTGTGCGGCACTGTTGCTTTCCTTGGTCAGGGCTGACAGGGTTGCAGGTTCCTGGCCCCACCCCTCAGCAGTTTAGATCTAGGGGGAGGGCCTGGAACCTAAAGTATTCCAGATTATGCTGAAGGAGGTGAGGGTGCTCAACACTGGCTGTCTGGACACTGGCTGTCCCAGAACTGTTGACCCCGGAGCCTGCTCCTGCCTTCAGGGCTTACAGTCACGTACTGAGAATCCGCAAGAAGAATGCACATACAGGACGGTGGGTCTCCAGAGCAGGGCCAGGTTACGCCTGGATGTCTTGGCAGAGCAAGAGTCAGGGAGGACTGACTCTTGATCCTGATCAAGATACCTGGAGGAGGAGGAGGAGATGGCATTTGCAACGGCTCTGCAGGCTGGGTGGGCATTTCAGCCAGTTTGGGTTCAACACGTGTTTGAGGAATGGCTGAGTATCTGACTTGCAGCCTGGGACCAGTCTGGGGAGAGTCTCGACTGCCAGACTGAAGAGTCTGGACCTCACGCCGGGGATAGCAGGAACAGGGAGTCGAAGGTGCTGAGCGGGCCGGCGATGTGGGGGACCAGTCGCCTCAGACGTCACCAAGGAGGTCCTGTTGACGCTGGGATTGAGACTCGGAGGCCTCGGACGGGCCTCAGACTGCATGGGAGGCCAACTCCCAGGTGACATCCATGCCGCAGGCTCAGGCACCACACTAGAGGTAGGAAGGATGTGGGGCCGGGGGCGCTGAGAGCCAGAGGTGGGGTGGGAAGGGGGTGAGTAGGAAGGGGGATGACAGGGGCATGGAGGAGAAACAGCATCTCCCAGCCCCATTCCCCGCCCAGAAGTCCGTGGGCCGCTTGTCGGTATCGGTTAACCTGGCTTCCCAGCTCCAATTCCCCACCCTTGAGTCCCCGGGGAGGGACTTCCGCCCCGCCTCCCGACTGCCTCCCACACACGACTTGTCCCCCTCCGCGTGGGACAGAAGACCAGGGATCGCCCGGACGGCGGTGACGGCCGAAGTGAGGCGGCTGAGGCCTGGGCCCGGGGAGCCAGGGACCGGCCTCGCAAGAGCGGCCACGGGAGCAGCGGGGCGCCCAGCGCGAGGGTCAGGAGACCGCAGAGGCGTCCGCGCCGCAAAGATGCCGCCGTTAGGGCCTGGGGCGACACAGCCACGGTGGGCGCCTCCCGGGAAAGCGGCGTCTCCGGCCCTCCGCGAAGGCGGAGGGGACGCACAGCCTCACCCAGGCCGACCCTGACCTTCG